ATTGAATATACGCGCATTCTTTTCGAACGGTTTACCAATATTTTATATGCGATTTGTTCAAATGCATCATTTGCATTTGCAGTATTATTCATGTAATTACAATACATAAATTGCGCATGAAAAAACGCACACAAACACCTAACTACCAAGTGGAATCACTACACGCACACTACTATCTCATTAATCAAATGAATGATCATTTCCGTTTCCGAGTGCTTTGTTTGTCACCTTTTCATCATCAATCTCCGTTAATTTATTCAATAAAGTCATAACATTGTATCAAACACCACATCACAATTCACATGAACTACTTTCAAATCGCTTTAACATCAGCACCATTCAGCGCACGCTATTGACACCACGGAATGATAATGATGACGAAAACACCGGAAATTGTGATGATTTATGTTTTGCTGCATGAATGGTGTTTAGCGAGTGGAATATGAAGAGTTTGTTTGAAAATGATTGCGATCACCAAACTCAATTTGAGGGAGCCTAAAATAATGCTTAATGCTAAAACTCAGACACCATACACTAATTGTAGGTTCGTTCGTTATTATCTTATCCGCTGATCATGATTGTAACGAATTTTGATCTTTCTTACTTCATTTATGAACGATCAGCCAACAATCAAAATTTTTCTTCGTCAAATTTTCAGATTGATTTTCTAGGATTATTTCCAACGATTGATCAGTTTTCTGTGAGAAACAATTTATTCATCAGTACCGTCGAATGTTTGTTATTATTCGTTCATCCATAATTATCATCCATTGTTCGCATGTTATTATTCAAGTACTCCTGATGTTTAGCTCACTACACACCAACCGGCTATCGTTTGCTACCTTTCACAGGTTCGCAAAAATTCAATCATGTGCGATTGCATGTACTGCATGCTGATAACGATTGATAATTGCATGTACTGCGTGCTGAAGCGGTATTCCGAGCTCTTCAACAAACCGGAAGCTAACGATCACAAATTTCTATCAATATATCATCGAAGTTTAAATTTTAATCAGTTGTATCTGATGGTGTCAACTTCGAAGCAAGTAATAGTAAGGGATGATAATAGCGTTGAATAGTAGCGGTTATTTCCTTATCACTCAAAAATTTACCAAACTGGCAGTGTGATTTTTACGATTATATCAATTAATGATAAGAAGTCTATATGTATGCAAATACTTAATTCTGTTCATAAAACGAGCAGCATACTTGCCGCCCATTCCGCCATTCAATGAGAATTTGAGAAAGAGTTTATGAAAATGTGTGAATTCCTAGTCAAAGGGGGTGATGAAGGTTCAGACAACTGGTGGACTTAAGTAGTGGACGTACCTCACCTTCTGTACAAGTGGTGGACTTGAGAAAAGAGAACCTGACAACAGAATGCATTTGAATAAAGTAAGGTGATCACTCAGCATAACCACAGCAAAAATGTTCGAAGCACAGCGCATGATCTTTGCAAGAGATCAAAGCTCACAACGGGATGAACAAAAAGAAAAGAACTTGAGTCGAGTGCAGTTTTGGGTTCACAATTCACGATCAGACGGATGAAAAGACTCAGAAGCATTGAGAGTATTGAGCATGGCAAATCGTGCTCTGCGATAAAATTGCTGGTTGTGAGTTGCATTATGCATTAAAGTGCAGGCATGCACTTGAACAAATATGCATAATTATAGTTGATGAGCTGCCGTGAATATGAAGCAAGTGCAAAAAACTGAACTCAAATGAAGTACGAATAAAAGATTTGCTTGATGGGAATAAGCTTTGGAAATGATTGCGTGGGTTATCAATTATGCAATATATTCGCATAAAATTGATCACTCAGAGATGAACAGTTTCGTGAATCTTTGATCAGAGCTGATAAAAGCTTTGATCAGCAGCGTTTGTTTCCTTATCGATCGTAAATTTACCAAAGTGACTTATGATTCTAGCAAGCACTGATAAGAAATTCGATGGAGAATTTAGAACGTGATTTTCTTTTTGTGCATGATATGGTTTAGAAGTTCTGCACGAAATTTTACTGATCAACAATTTGCAAGATTCAAGCTATACTTTGAGAGAATTTTGAGTTTTGATGTTATAAAGGTGAATTTCGAACAAATACGTTTTGTTGCTGACACATCCATCAAATTTTCAGTCAGAAATTGTTTTCTATCGCAAACTGAGCAAAACAAACTGGCATGTGTCACTTCCTAGCGATGAATGCACCTGTTCAAATAAAAAAATCCGAAATGATTTCATCAATCACATTGAGAGGTTTTATGGCTAAGGCCCCACCAAAGTATCAAACTAACGCATGCTGTAATATGCGTAAATTTTTATGGTATCTTTTGAGTTATTGGTGGGAAGAAATTGCTTGTAAAAATTATAACTAATACATAACTATTACACTTTCCGGAAGCATTTGATTGATTCACTTACGTTGTTCACTCAATATGGTAAAGTCAAGTCAATCATAAGTACATAATTTTTAATATATTGCAAAATTTCAGCTGGTTTTATGGCCACAATTTGTTCTAGCTGCATACACATATACCATCCAGTAGAGTGCATACTCATTCAACCACTTGTACGGAATCAATAACAAACTATTAATTTGTGACACTTATCATCAATTCATCACCACTGTTTCATTATCCAGCAGCTATTCATTTCGAAAATTATCTCTCCGAAATCATTCTCACCCATCACACAAACTGAATAACTACTCATCCTAGTCCATCGCATTCTATCGCATAGGCAACCTTACTTCTTCTCACATCCAAACTTGTCCGGAAAGTATTTTGACAAAATTGACCTGTGAATTTCCGACCACGCAAAATTCAGCAGAACGAAGGAAGCAGGATGTATTGTTCTACAACGCTTTCCTTTTGATTTTGTGCAAGCGATACAAAACCACACAACTTTTCTCACGCTTTCTATCAGTGTTATTAATCATCACCTTACAAATTCGTCTTTCATTTTATGCAGCGTATCATCTTTTAACAACAACACCTTGGAGCATCTTTTAGCATCGGTATTTGTGAGAAGACGCCACTCGAGCGTCTTATCAATGAGCAGTTCAATTTCATTGAGTCGTTATTAGTCATTTCATATTTATTACACTTAGGCGATGATCGCTCATAAGCAAAAAAGCTTTCAGCCACTCAATTCCCGTATAGTGTGTAAAAAATGAAGCATTTGATCAATAGCAAATGAATAATGATAATGTTGATAACGATCATAATGAGAATCATGTTATTGAATAATACTAATGATTGATACGAATAATATTGATACTGATAGGTAATAGTTATTGAGTAATGATTTAGAATGATGATGAAAAGAACCTCAGTGATAGGAGCATCAACGAGTGCGCTTTGCGAACGAACACTTTTCAGTGAAATGTCACGACACATGACCGCATCAGCACTACCACGCTTCACGTATACGTACTGCGTACTGAAATTAAAAATGGAATAGTTCCATTACAGAAAATGTTTCATAAATGTAGGTTGATTCGAATTCGTTCGCTGAATTTCGAACATTTTTGCAACTTGCATCCAAAATTTCGCCGTAATCAACTGAATATTAGTGAAATATCGTGTCGTTGAAATAATGCATCATTTACATCAGCAGTATGTGAATATTCCGTGAATTGCACGTACGAATTTTGGATGACTTTATGTGAACTGCATCAACATTTCAAAATCAATGATTACATTACTGAAAATTTGCTGAAGTTTGACTGAACAATTTCAAGATTTGGACTTGGTGAAGTTTGACAAAATTAACAAATGGTTCAAATACAAAGATTGGATTGTTTGTTTTCGCGAATTTGAGGAGCTATTATAACTCCCGAAATCATTCCGTGATAAGCTGTCGAGCTGACAGTGAATTTAGTCGTAATATTGGCTTGTCATATGAACAACTCGGGAACTTAGGAAACTTTTAGGGAAAATATTATCGAATTTAGTGGTAGCAAAAAGTTTAATGTGGATGAGTAATTTTTTTCGGTAAGATAATTTATGGGAGTGAATATGCTCGATGTTTTGAACATTTTAATTGGATATTGGGCGTAGAATAAAAGAAAACGAGAAACGGTGATACTTTCATTTAGAATGATCGGATTTCAAAATTTAATTTGAATATTCATAGAGGCATTTCGCAGGTCCACTGAGAATGAAGTAATCCATATTTTCCTATAGGCGTTCTAACGTAAATGAAGGCCAAACTTTGTCAGAAAGATGGGTAAAATATTCTGAGATACAGTAGGAATATGTTCCTTTCAATTCTCAATCCTTGATCGAGCAAATAGTGAGCATATCAAAGAAGGAGAAAAGGAGGCTCATGAAGATATTCACCTACCCGAATGTACTACCTGGAACTTGAATGCAATGCCATTCCGTACTCGCCCTTCGGATCACTGCATCAGGATCGAGTTCTTTCGGACGTGGCACACAAGAATGTAACGACTTACGTCTTGCATCCGAAGATTTTGTCCCAAGCACCTCATTTCTGAAACGGAATTGATACAATTGATTAGATGAAATCCTTCCCAAGTATGCTTATGACGTTCTTTCCCAATGCGGTCTTCCTGGAACTCTCATTCACTTGACCTGCTAATTAAGTAAATCGTGATTATGACTCCGTGCATCTGATATTGTAAGATTATTTCAAGAATGAGCCAATTTCCGCAAAGCTCCAAGAATTACATATTATTCGAAGCGTTTGGTTTTTGATGGTTTTTCTTGTACTACAATTGATTTCCCAGGCAAATTAAAGTGGTCATTTAAAAGATCATTTCAATGAAAATTGATGGAACCACTCACCGTATGCAGCCTGTAAGAGATTCATATGCTCGATTAACATACTGGATGCTTCTTGTTTCATCACAGATTTCTATTGGCTGCTCCGCCTGAAATTAGACTCGACATACCATAACCAGACACGCATTCCAATAGCATATCTACACCACATTTATCAAAAGGCGATCAATGGATAACATATCAACAAATTATCAGAACCAGGGACTGTAAGACGGTTTGCCTAATGGACAATTTACCGAACGGACGTAAATCGTCGAGTAAAAAATGGTGCGAAATACCTCTTCAAGGACGGCAAACAACGCAGGCATGGCCCGTAACCGTGACGTGATTCGTGCAAAAAATTCACAAAGAGCAACGTCGGTTGAGCTTGAGAGCACAACCTGTAAATTGTATCATTTATCGATTCAAAGATGGAATCAGCGATCAAACATTAAATCGGTGATAATCTCAGGAATTGATTGAATTCAGTTGAGATATGGAACGATTATGATGAGCTCACATGATAGAGATCAGCTTGAGAGAGCGAACGTCGACGTTTATCCGATACGATCCTGAAAAATTTAAATCAGTTGCTTAAAGTGACTCAGGAAACAATCATATCTTAAAAAAGATGACAGTTCATTTCATATCACCAGTCAAAATTTTCCTTCCGTCATTTTTGATCGATAGTATCATCTCTCACAAACAGTAGCTGCAATTTTTCATCACGATGTTTTTGATTTTTGCAGATCCGTATTCTGATGTTCTTACGTGGAATTTTGTAAAGTATGCGGTAAATTGTATTTTGTGAAATGTATTTTTTGCGTGAAATGTTATTTTCATACTTAGTTCACTTCTTTCTGAGTGCACAATTTGTTTATTGCGAGAGCGCATTGTGTTACGTAATGTTNTGTTGAAAAAATACACTTCGACTCAATCACTATCGAATGTAACTAAAAAAAAATTGACTCAATGTTACGTAAGCACAGATACGCACACAAACGATCACACATTACAAACTCCGACACAGGTCTTTGACGTCATATAATAGGATTCGACTTTTTTCTCATCTTGCGAGAGGGAGGATAGTAAAAACGATTGCTAGAGGGTATGAAAATTGATTCTCTCTTTCAGCATCAATGAATCAACTCACCGATCGGATATGGCTGCAAAAAGCACATCGTCGGCGCCCGGAAGGCAGTGCAAAGTTCTGAAAAGAATTCGGAACATTGGTACGGAAAAAATGAAAATTTATTGTCGCGTTGTACAAGTGACGTAACACGAAAAAGTACCGTTCAGTGAGAAAAATAGTCAAAGTGGAAAAGGGGATTTTTTGCGGAAAAGGTAATTCAAAGAGCTTAAAAACTAATGTTCGTTATCGATCAATATAAGCAGTGGACTATTTGGCACTTCAAAAATTCAAAACATTCAGATCTAACGCTATTCAATTCAAAATTTTGAAATGATATCCAGGTAGGCTTGCACCTCATCAGAGATTGGTGTAAGGAGATGAAATTGGCAGAAGAAATGGTAGGAGAAAGTTACAGGAGAATGAGCGAAAATACGCTGAATAACCGTCAAATGTAAAAAACATGGAAATGCTTTTTCGGCAATGATGCCGATATGTATGGATAATGCGAGTAATTTTCAATGGGGTGAGCGAGGAATGATTAAAATCGAAGTGAAAGTTGCTCGAGACGGGAACGTACTTGGAAAGAGCGAGTAGATCAGGAAGGCGATTATCAATTAGCACCAGAAGTGGCCTGTGCTGCTCAAATGCTGAGGCAGCTAAAATTGGCGTTGCTGTGGCCACCTGAAAAGGAATATATTTTATTGAGCAAATAACACTGTTGGTATTGCCTACAATTTACACTTGGAAGGATATGACCTTTGCGATTTTCAGAAAACTGAGCAGATAAGGGAAGCAAACGAAAAAAAACGAATACCTGCCATCCATTCGACTTGAGACTGTCGATGAACGAGCAATCGAGTGGAGGTTGAGAGATTGATATGTATAAAGCCTGAAATTTTATTGACTTTGATTCAGTGAAGAATTTTCCATTAAATAAATTGATGATTCCAGTGTCCAACTGTTAAAGATTGTCTAATAACAATCGGTTCGTGCTTCAAAGAAACAGCACAAATTTATCACTGATAAGTCTTTACATTTTTTACATTTTTCTCCGAAAAGTCTTTACATTTTTCAGTCAAATTATTCACAGTATTTGCTCATACTTGCATTAGAACCACTTGTGTTGATTTGAAATTAGCATAAAACTTGTGTTCATTTGAAATTGTGTTCATTTGAAATTAGAATTGTATAAATCTTAAATTTAAATTTTAAATTTAAATTTAAATTTGAAATCATTTTAAATTNTATACACAGAAGAAAGACAAGACGACATATCTGGAAATGAAAATGCAAAGTTTTAGCATAGAAATTTTTCGTACCGCTAGAAAAACAAAAATTCATTTCAAGATTAATTCTCTCTGAAGATATTTCAGAAGTAACACTGACGATGAGTTAGATTGAATTCTAATTATCTAATTTTTCAAAGGAAGTTTTTTCGACAGGATGTATGAAAACTATAATCATGAGATTAACATCAGAGAATATTTACCGAATTAAGTGCAGTAGTGAGTGGTAACAATTGCTCTAATTAAATGAGTGCTATTTCTGAATCATTCCGTCTCTGCGAATTCAATGAACTTGAGTTTCTTGCGAGATAGTTTTAACCGATGCACTTGGAACAAAGTTAGTAGCATTTGAGACTTCTGAGGATTTTATATCAAGCTGACGATGGAGAAGATGCAATGATTTCGGATGCCGATAATTACGATTAGAAATAAAGAAGCTTGGCTCATAACTATTTGCCAAGCAAAAATTTTTTAGAGCTCAAATAATGACTGAAGGCATCCTCAAAATTCACGAGCAATCCATGATACTATGGTTTCACAAGCAAATGATTATATCAATTGATGGAAAAAGTTATTGAAGCTGAGCGACTCGGAATACCTGGTCAAACCCTAAGAGCTGGAATGAGTAATTGCGGATTTGGTGGTCTAACTGCATCATTCCAGTGGTTATCGGTACTGTTTCGCTTGTATTCATCAGTCATCAAATCCTAATCATATTGATCAACAGATGATCTCAATTTTGGAGAGTTCGAGGTCACTCGTCTTTCCTCTCGATCTCCTCCCCCACATCTGTTAGTTTTTGAACATCTAAAGCCCTTGCATCCCAGAATACTGTCAGTCTCGTTCTTTTTTTTTTCAAGAAAAAAATTCATCACTTCAGATTAGCATCAGACACATCACAGCTTTCTCAAAGTGTGTCATCGCTAAAGCGCTCATTTCAAGAAGCCTTTCTCTAATAACACTCCAAAAACTGAATTGATGACATACGACGTAATAAAATTATGGATTATCGAAGCTTACGGAATGCTCTAGGGTCAGTACCAGAAACTAAATGTGTCTCATCTGTTTACATCCGAATTCGATCAGAAGAAATGAGTTATTTGATGGAAAAATGCATTCCAAGAATAACACGGCACCGACGCATGTGCTGATTACTTTCCTCCTGATTAGCATCTCATTATTTTATTCAAAAAGAATGGTCACGGTGGAAGATGAATTCGAAGTTTTTGAGATGTTTATTTGACTATATCCATTAAATTATTAATTGAAAATCGTAGAGTTGTTGGTCCATGAGGCTGAGAGTGCACTTCTTCAGCATTAGACACAAAATTGGATTGGTAAAGACGAGAAATTTGAATAAATCAATGGAGATGTAGGCATCAAATGCAGATATATGAAGTGACAAACTGTGCAACGTTCAAAAATTAGCGATTCACGAGAAATTTCATTTAGAAGTCATCCGAAGTGCTTTTTTCACTATCAAAAATGCAAAGAAATATGACATAACAAGGTGTTATGCATTTTGAATTGCGCGTCATACAAACTCGATTCTGTTCATTTCTCTCAATATTCATCGTTTCATTCACTCAAGTTATTTAATATGATCATTATGCATATTTTCATTTACCATTGTGCTATATTTTCACAACATTGAATCTCAGTTGTTCTCATACTCCCTACAGTAATCAAGTTGTTTCTCACTTGTACACTGCTAACTATTCTTTCGAAACGAGCAAAACTTTATTATTTCCTCAAGGATTCCTTAATCCCTTATAAAACAATTTGCAGACTTCCAAGAAAGTTTTCTGGCAAAATTTCGATTATATTCACACTTTTTATGAGAAATAAGCATGCACTGAGTGGCACTATTGTTGTTGTGTTTGCTGCTGAGGAAGATACAATAAACGAAAAGCACTACAATTAATTTATTTTATTGCAGAAGTGTTCATTGCTGTTGACTTGAGAGAAGTTTAAATGATATGAGCTGCTTGCAGAGTGCAAATCCGTGAAGATTAACACAATGCAATGACTAATTTTTGAATAAAGATAAGGATGCAACCAATGTGTTGTTGCTGTTGTATAGCTGCTACATGATGATATTTATTTCAGAGCATTCATAATATAATTGAAATGGGATGAGCGTAATTTGTACGTTTGGTATTCTCAGTCAATATATTGCATGTAATCAACTCAATGAATAATTGCAGTGCATTCATCCACGAGAATGATTTTAATTTAGTAAAAAGTGCAGCAAAACAGCATTTCAGTTTAGGTTGAAAGGAGGCAAAAAGAACAAATGACTCATTCGACGCAACTGTTTGCGAGAAATTTTCATTGAATGTGAAAAGTTCAATGATTTCTTTTCATGTCATTATATTTTATGCAGTGAAATTTGTGCACACCCAAGCACAAACACACCCAAGCAATAAACACTCTTTGCACTAAACTAACTTGACTTTATCTTGTTTATCTCATCTATTTAATATAAAATGTGAAGAAAAAAANAAAAAAATTGCAAAATGACAATAAATAAATTGTAAAATAAATTGAATGTTTTTCGTACAGATGTTCGCTTCAGTTAGAAACTTCACGAACGTCATCATAAGTTACTGTTGTTTAAATTGAGTACGTTTTCACATTCTCGTATACGAACATAAAAAATTTTATGCATCAGAAAAGTGCGCAGATGCAGGAAACAGTTTGTTCTGTGACGAAAAATAACCGAGAATCCATTTGTCATAAACATCCTACGTTGAATGTCGATGGTAATATAGTACGCAAATACTAATAGTATTTTGTGTAATGTAACGAGCATTGAATTTTATAGTAATAAAGATAGTGCTTTTAAAAGCTTTTTCAGTAGCCAACTTCGAACAAACAGTGAATGGTAGGTTGCTTTTAAGGGTAAGAAAGGCGATAATGATCAAATGCTGCTTTTTCAGTCGATTCGATCACATTCAAGCATTTAAAGAATGTCAAACGCAATCCATAACTTCCTTTCACCTGCACTCATTCCACTTTTTTTGCAAACATATCAAAATTTTGAAGGCCTTCGATCATTTCCTATGCCACTGATCCATCAAATGCATCTGTTTCAATAATTTCTGATTGACACATCCAACATTACAATCAAATCCATCAATAATTTCTAACTTTGTGTAACAGAGAACAAATCACCCCTAAAAGCAGTTATTGCAATCTCAAATTCATTTCAACACTCCGAAAAGAATAAATTAAGTTTAAATTTACATATAGTAATGTGAATCATTTGAATTAAATTCACTAACGATTACCAATGTTTCGCTTATAGTTGCAAAAAGTCCACTTCATAATCAGATAGGAAAGTCTCACATTTTAAAGATTATGAGTGTTTAGTTGAAGATTAACAGTAACCTTAAGACTACATGCATTGCTTTTATCATATGAATATTTCATGAATTTTAATATTCTCATTCGATGCAAATTAACTGACACCACATATATTACACATAGGATTTGTTTCACAAGTGCACACAAATGCAACCACAAAATAATGATCTTTATGCAGAATGAATACGATAAAGAAGGATGTCAGAAGATTGCTTTCGAGCGCACAATAACAAACGAACTGCATGGAGAGATTTTATCAATGGTTTGAGGAATGAATGCAAAATGATTTGATAAGTTCTAAATTGAAGTTGAAAACTGAGTGCAAAGTGTTTATAAACTTATC